CCCCCCCTCCAAAAAAATAATGGTCCGTCCCTAATGTGAGGCAATAGACCAATAGTCAGTACGTATAGTCGCCATTTCTATTGGAGTATTGAAGAGGGAGCCGTTCACAAGTTTCACGCGAACTTGGTAGTATAAAATTTGGCAATTGGCAAAGCAAACGAAGTTCAAATAGCTATAAAAAGGTTTTCCTTCCATCGCTGCTTATGTTTTGTTTACGAAATGACTGTATTAAACAGATTAATATTTAACCCATATGTAGATTGCAACATGTGCCCAGCGTGTCCCATCCCAGGGCTTTGGAGTGAAGACCCTGGGTATGTTGGTGAGCACTCTGTTCATTGTCATAGTAACCTTGGTTGATGTTGCATAATCTCATTAGCTTGCAAACTATTTTTTCCTCTTTCTATGTGTGCAAACAATTTATTTGCACTTTTTTGTCTTTGCAAACAATTTTTTTAAGAATTTTTCATCCCCCCCCTTCAAAAAAATAATGGTCCGTCCCTTATGTTGCGGAATATGTTGCGAAATATGCTACCACATATGCCTCGGTTTGAACGCGGTTACGTTTAAAAGAGAAATGGGTACGCGGTTTGCGGTTAAAATTTGAAAAACAGCGCGGTTTTCGAAGATGCGTACCCCCTATAATAGACATCCTTTCAATTGCATTCAAATTATTCATTCAAAATGTTTTGATTAATACCTTGATTAAGTGCAAAGACGAATTTTTAGTTCTGTTTTTCTGCTCATTGTCTCATTTTCTTGTTATAATTAACAGCTTATCACAGCAAATTTTATCACTGCACATTTTACATTTTATCACTGCACATTTTACTGTCATTTTACTTTTATCACTGCACAAATTGGTTATCACTGCACACTAAAAGTAGGTATGGAGGTTGGCTCACTGCCAAGTACTAATGAATCACTTAATATTTAATAACATTGGCAAAATGGCTTTTTACTGTTTTAGTATATTGATATATGTGTACTGTGAACTTTTGTCCATTTTCAAGGATTTTATACGGAAAACTAAGGAATTCTAGAGCTGTCGCCAAGGAATTCTCGAACCTGGCACATGTTTGGCACACTGGTGTTTGCGCGCATTTCCCATTTTGTAATTTGTTAGCCTGCTAGCAATTAATTTGCTAGAATTGGTTTCTTACTTTCTTTTGGCTCCTGCATCACGATTTTTGGTGCACTTCGTTCCGGATTGTATCTTATTTCACGACGGTGTTTTTTGGTTGAAAGGTAAGTATTGCAGGTTGATATATTAGTCTATTTTTTAATGTGAATCATATACACAGATATATCTTTCAACCTTTGCTTCTCAATGGCAATGCGGAATTAATACAAATACCAGGAAATTCTTATTTTGCCTTTATTTTGGGCATCCAAAGTAAAGGATTGTGCCGATCCTTCAACATTTGTTGTTCAGTTGAGTGAGATTCCCCCAAACACCAATTTTTACCCAATATATGCCGTACCTTAATATTTAAATTACCAGGCATCATCTTAGTATACATGAACCTCCGGTTATAGAAGCCCACCAAGGTTGTCACCCAGGTCGCTTGGCACTCATTTTATAGCTGCTTTGTTGATTGTTTTATTGTAATAAATGTCGCTGTCACTTTAGACCCATAACACAAATCACAATTTGTCACCTTTTACAAGTCAGAAGCTGTACGTTTGTCGCTCTTTTTTAGATAGTCTATTGCCTCTTTTTAAGGAATGTCGCCTGCCGGTCGTAACCCCTTGGTGAGCCTTGTTAATGCTTGACAACTGGACTCTGTAGACTGTAGTTCAGTTGGAGACTTAGAGCACTTGCACTGGAATAGCAGGGCTGCAGGTTTGATTCCTGTAAGAGGGCATATATAGTTGCAGCTGCTCCTGTTTATAGGTCTACCTGGGTTCAGAGGTTTTCTGGTGTCAGAGTTTTAGGAGGCGACGAGGCAGAGAAAACCTCTGGGCGCGACCTGTCGAATTTCATTTCCATGACGTAATTTATTAATGTTTCATACTTCTGGTCTGAAGGGTGTAGTCCAGTACATATTCAAATGCATTCAACAAAAACATATTCCCTTGACCAATTTTGTTGTGTTTGCCAATGCAGTATTCGGAAGAGGAAAATGAATGAACTGGGGCAATGTGTCTCCAAACTACTGATGACAATTGGCAGATCCATCTATTCTAAGCAGTTTCAAGTTACAAATTCAAAATACAAGCAGCAATCGAGTACATAGTTTAACACTTGTGAAATATAAAGTAATGACAGTTATTGAATTATTTTTTTTAAGTTTGATGATACAGAATGTCCTGTACTGTATTGGAATTTACATTGTGTATTTTTACATAAATATATAATATATGTAGCCCAAATACCTTGCCACAACTGAATTTTTGTTCATAGTTGTTCATGAATTACACAATATGGGCTACACAATTTTAAAACAAACTACATGCAAACAACTGAACATACACAGTACAGCATACAGTACAGCATACAGCACAACACGACCACATACACACAACAAAATTCCGCTCAAGTACTCGACATATACAGAATCACCATATCATCTGTCATCATCATAGTGTGATAAAATATTTCTGCAATGACGCTATTCGATGTAACTGTTTGGGAATAACATGAACTTCCTCTGAGACGACAACAAACAAATTCTCTTCATAAACTTTTCAACGAACAATCTCTTTCTGTTAACGAAATACTGCGATTTCCAGTTGAGTATGGAATTACGAAAGTTTGTTCGTACAGTTTGTTCGTTAACTTTTGTCGTTTGAAAGCAATGTTTGTGACGTCATTCTACAATGTTACCAGGCGAGCACACAATGTTGTCAAGTAAAAACCGTTAAAAACTGTCAATCATTACAAAACGAAATAAATTTCTATTTATAGTCGTGAACTTGACAGTATTTTACTTGACAACATTGTCAGCCCGCCTAGCAACAACATAGAATGATGTCACAAACATTGTTTTCAAACGACAAAACTTGACGAACAAACTTTCGCAATTCCATACGATCAACTGGAAATCGCAGTACGCTCACTTGTTGAACAGTATAAATAGAATACCGGTACAGCAATAATCCAAACAGATGTCTAGGGTCAAAATCTGACCCTAGACATCCGATTGGTTCGGCGACATCAATCAATCAACACATCGCACCCAAGGGGTTTCCATACTGGCCAGCACCACCTGAGTGCAGGCTACAGCTTCTGTGAAACAGGAAACCCTCTGATCCAGGGTAGTTAGGTCTAAATAGAGGTATAAAATCCACTTTCGGATTACATATATAGCGTGATCATGTATATGTGTGCATGTACAACACTCGCATTTTCCATGAACCTTACCACTCTTCAACCCTAATTGGTCCTTATCTAGGCTAACTGTTTTGACCACTTGTTTACAGGAAAACATTAATGGCACATGCACTCCCGGATTTGAACCTACCACTCATCTACCTGGGATTTTGCTTGAAATTACCTTGAATGTATTTGATATTATTTTTTAATAGCATGTTTGGCAGAGGCAGCTTTTATGATTGCTAATGTTGAAATGACATACAGTAAGTTCAGTTGAAGACCTGAAAATAACTGAACAATACATCCTCTTCATTTGTACAGCATGATGTATATCATAATTTATATAAGGTCATCCTTGAATCTATGATGTACATCATCATACAGACACATTGATAACCTGACCCTCACCACTCTGCATGCTGCAGCTTGCTTGGCAGTACTATAGGGGCAGATCTGGTCTGATTTGTCTAGAGGCAGATCTGGTCTGATTTGTCTAGAGGGGGCGGAGGTTTTCCAGAGCGGGCGATTTTTGAGATTTAAAGCCCTGAAATGCCATTTCCTGCATTCTGAGCACTACATTTATTCATTAAATTCGTTCTCACAGTACTTGTATTTTGGGAAAAAACTAATAAAGAAAAGCGCTACATTACATGTACTGTATATGCATGGTGACCCGGCAGACCCGCCATGTTTGGTGCTGTTATGTTCTGTCCAAATGATCAAACATTGCACATATATTATGGTTAAACTTGAATTTATAAACTTTCCTCAGGCCCTCTACAAAAACCCCTAAAACATCTCCCTCACGTGTTCATGTATTCTTCCATAATATAAGGAAATGTCCTTATATGGAAAGTCCTGACACTACATCCCTTTCCTTTTCAAGTTCTTTTAAATATACAGTAAACTTTAAATGTTAACAAATTAATGTCAACGTTTCGTTTAAACAGAATTGTTTTAAACTTGTAGAAGTTCAGTTCTTTCGCTCTTGTTTAGTTCAAAACATAGTTTTTCACCTGTTACCATGGTACCCTTAATCTTTGTAACCCAATACAGTTCGATATCAAATTTGATTGTAAACTTGTTCTGCTTCTGTTGCTTCACCACCACCGAGTCTCCGACTTTGATATTCACAGATTTTGCACATTCTCCTTACATCAGCATATTTCTTCGCTTATGCGGAGGGGTGTTCATCTTCTGTAACACAGGGTAGTTTCCCTCTAATTTTGCAATTGAATAATTAAACTGTGCAGGTCATGCACCAGTGCCTGTATCAGCCTGTATGTGGTGTGCACCGAATTTCTGCAAACGTCTATGCAAACTGACTTCTGCAAACTGCCTTCGCTATGGGCTATCTGGATGGCTTTCAATAATGGTTTCATAAACCGTTCGGCTTCCGCGTTTGTTTGCGGCCACAAGGGAGTGATGCATTAGTGATGGATGCTGTTTTCCTCCATAAATTGAACAAAGTTTAGCGCCGTTGAAGGGTGGACCATTATCTGAAACGATGGTCAAAGGTATACCATGGGTGGCAAAAACCCGGTCTAATCTTGGAATTAGAGCAGCAGCAGTTGTTGTCGTCATTATTTCCACCTCTGGGAAGCGTGAATACTTACTTTTCTCCTGTAGATAGTCGGAGGTCCTACAGCTTGGCAAGCAAGACAATTAGCAATCTGTCTCTATTTGTCCATCGATTTCTGGGAACCAGACATTTTCGCGGTTTTGGTCTTGAGAATCCCCTGGTGTCCCTCATGCGCCAATTGTACTGATCGTGTTTGTGGAATGACATAACGGATCCCACGTAACATGAGGCCCGCACTTGGTTCTGTGAGCTCTGTTTTTAGTTTCTCGAATGAGTTGAGGTCGTTGTGGTTGGCATTGGGAAATAAATGCT